CACCCGGGACACCTTCGACGTCTTCCGTGAGGTCGGACCTCGAAGTCAAACATAAAGTCACCATATGAAAATTATGAAATGATGAAACTGTCGATGTGCCAACTGTGACAACGCTGTTGGATTGAAACTGTCAATGTCTTCCAATCCAATCATCTTTCAATCGAAATCCAACTGCAAATTGGTTGAACGCCGGCACTCTTACTCTGAGAGGACCGTTTCAAAAGAAACCACGACCCAACATGGACAAACCTTCACCTGCCTCCATTTCTGATGCCATCGTCTGATCATTGAGACCTTCTCTGGCTCACCGAACCTGAGGAATCAACTGGCATCAGCCGGCATCAGGCATGGAGATCACCGAAGTTTCGAAAGTTGTCAGTTGAGTTTCACACGAATACATGGCATTCAGCACCTCCGACTCACCTCAACTGATCCCTCACAGTTTCCACATAGAATTAAGATGAACTAAGATGAACTAAGATGAATTCTAAGTACTTTCTGTTACAGTGAGCCTCGAAGATGAAAGAGCAGAGACGCCAAGAAATCCAAGGCCGCCAGGAACTCCACCGAGGAAATGATTTCGGCCGCATCTTTACCTTGGGAGCGTTGCAGATCAACCCAGGGACCCAGGGACCCAGGGACCCAGCTGCAGTTTAGGGATGTTTGGGGCATGTGATATGGCCCAAAAAAGGGATCCAAATGGCATATGATCGGCATATGATGGGCATATGGCATATGATCTTTCATGGCTACTCATGCTACTCTAAATCAATCACCGAATCACCGGATTTTGGTGATTTCAGTCCACGCTCCCTCTCTTTTGAACCTTTCCATCTCATCATATCTCATCCATCTCGACATTCACAGAGTCACAGCCTGTAAGTGCCACACTGTCACAGGCTTCAATCAGGTACCTGGGAGAGTCCCGCTCCAACCATGCAACCTGCCTAGGCTGTTGTTTGATTTTTTGGGGTGGTATTATATGGTATTATCATGTATTTTCTCAAATTCTCTCCGCAAAAATCTCCGTCTTCTGGCGCACTTGCCCAGACTGGAACCGTGTGGCACGACCGGCAGATCTCGCCACCGGCGCCCAGCGGTGATGTCCACCACGGCTTCCAAGCACCGGCCGCGGTCCAGCGTGTCTACCAAACGCAGCCTGGACTTAGGCCGGGAATTTGGCGTATCTCAGACTCAGAATATCTCAGACTGTTTCAAAGATGAGCTTGGGGCCCGACTGGCCAGCTGATGCCGCAGCAACTTGCTCTTGAAGAGAGAAGGGCATTGCAGCACATAGAGACAAATATTACAAAACGATACAAAATGAAGGAAAAAACGAAAACACAAATGTTCAGTCTGATGTCCTCAATTGGTTTACACTGACGTCTGGGACATCATTCCTTCAAAACATGATGTTTCTTCCCTGGAAAGAATCTTGCATGATTCTTCATCATTCTTCGACGTGGCACAAGGCAAAGCCTGAGCCAAAAAAACAGAGCATTGAGGCACCGATCGTGAGAATGAACGATTGGCGAGTACGCTCACCGCAAGGTGTACAATGCACCCACTGCGTCAAAACCCAGGATCACAACAACCCTGGACCAAGACGGTGGCAATAACACATTTAAATACATTTGATCAACTTTGATCATCTATATCTTCTATATCAATGTCACTCTATGTCACACTTCTTCTTGGCTTTTGGGGGTTGCGACTTCGCAAACTTGGCCATGTTTCCTGCACCATTCCAAGAAACGGCCAAAATTGCTCAAGGTGGCCAGGACTTGCCACAAAAAAGTCCTAATTCGATCTGAACTGGATAAGAAATTCAGGCATGTGAGAATGATGAGAATGCACAAAAACTTGGCTAGAAGATTAGCTGAACACATCATTCTCCACCATTTTTACATATTTTTACCATCTTCCAGTTGTGAAATACGCCCCACCTCAGCAGCCAGCAGCTCATCCGCATTCCTCTCGTCCAACCTGGGAACATGAACGGAAGCAATTTATGGACATATTTACTCTCTTACAGATAACTAGGGATAACTAGTCCATGCCGATGATGGCATCCATGATCACTCATAATCTAAGCGATGAAGTCATTAAGGTCAAGAATGCGGTGCCACGGCCGCACAGCTGGGGCCACTGGCAGCCATGCACTGGCTGCTTGGATGTCACCACCACACGCACGCCTTAGCTTTGAAGGGAGTACAAATGGGAAAATGCAAAAATCATCAAAAATATGAATATGAACTGATGACCCATGAAAATGTGTTCACAAGCTGATTGGAATGGAAATCAGAACCAGCAGAAAGTGCGAAGGTGGAAGGGCAGTACCAAACGATGTGTTTCACCAAATTGGCTCGGGTCAAGAGGTCAGGACAAGCCCTGCCGAGCAGCCACTGCCTGAGCTTCCAGAATGTGCTCTCCGCAGTTGGATCATTTGGAACTGGGGAGAAGCACCGAAAAGCCCAGGGCCATCAACCGCTGCACCTGCGAGAACATCCAACTTGCCGACAGGATCCATCTCCATATATCATATGCAGATGCATCATTTATCCACCAATTATATCCATAGACTAAAATGTATCAATTTGGTATATACCATTATACCATCATTATCCACCATTATACCAATTATACCATCATTTATCCACCAATGTGGTATATCCGTCTGCATCCAAAATGTTCACCGTTTCTCTCAGATTCTCCAGAGAAATCCATCTGGCCTTCTGATCGCCTGTTGCCTTAGGTCGTCCCGGGTCACGGTCGGATTTGCCATTTCAAAATGCAGAAATTGGGGTAAGACATGGCAAAACAATGCAAAACACATTGGTAAAACATGATGAGACAGTGCGATCTCAACCTAGAACCTCTATGTCTCTATGTTGTTAAAGTGAAAGTCTCTTGAGAAATATACATGCAGTGCTAAGTTGCTACATGCAGTGTTACGTGCGTCATTGTACTATGTTGGGCCAACGTTGGGCCGCCCATGGTGCGGTGCATCCCTGTGGTTCCGGCAGAAAGCGTCGGCGAAGGTTGGCCGCTCGGGGAACCTCATGGAACACCGAGCAGCGGAACCAACAGCGGAACCAACGAGCTGCACTGCACCGGAGGTTCAACGAGGTTCAACGAGGTGCACTGCAAAGTTCAGCAAAGCAGCCCCTGCTGAATCTTTGGGCCATCTCCTTTGCCTGCGAAACAAGAAACTGAGAATCTGGCAAAATTTCATCTCAAAACATATCCAAAGAAGCCCATGTAAAGTAAATGAAGAAATGCTACACTGACACCCGGGCCCACCTTGCCAAACCTCAAAAACGGTCTTTCTTTAATCATGGCAGCAGCTGATGCACCAAGTTTTCTCTCAAGTGACATTCCCAGCCCACCCCACCAGGGTACAAAGTCGTTGTTTAAATGACACATGCGTTTTTTTGATTGCAGAACCAGTTCATTCTGAGATCCTTGCTGCGCATGCGCACGATCTTTTGCAACTCCTGCTTTGGAAATTTTGCAACTCCTTTGCTTTCTCAAGCAACTAAGTACTTTCAAGACTGAAACGAAACAAGTTGCATTGCTATGTTTCTAAAGTCTGGAGTAAGCCTTCTTGTGCCGAAATCCATTTTGATCAATGTTGGTACCATCTGTTCGTTACGTGTTCATCCATGTTCTTCGAGCTGGTTTTCTTTGAGGGTTCTGGAACTGTCCCCACCCAAACCTGCACCCCACTGGTTTGATCATGTTTCAACACATGTCAACATGTCAGATTGGCGCAGCACACGGGACATTTTGCCCATGGCATTCTTCACATCTTCAGCCATGGCGTCAATTCTATTCAAGTCAGATGAACCTTTAAGACCTGAAAGAGAGCTTCCTAAGAAAACGTCTTGCGAAACCGATGGCAATTCGGATGGTTTCCGGTCACCTACAAGATCTTACAAGTACTCTGGATGAGTTCTGAAATGCTGCAAAGTGAGGTAAAGTGAGCCTTTGAGCCATGTCAATTCCGCATCATCAAAATCCCAGAGATTGCAAGAGGTCGTCATGACCAAATTCCAGACAGCTGATCAGCTGCTTCAACACCCGTTTTTCCAAGCGGACTAAACTGCTACACGTGGGGCTGGATCCAGGTCACCATTCGGCGAGACCGGTGCCCAGATGGGAATCATATGGAATCCAACATCCAATCCGCTAGCAAATACTAGCACTCATTGGCAGGCAAAAGCATGTAGGCACAGCTACCCCAAATCATTAAAGATTCGTTAAAGTTTTACTATTTGATCGAAATATCGACATTATGTGAAACGACATTTGTCTTGGCATCGATCATCTGGTCATCAAATTCCAACTATCAGAAGCGAATATGTTTGTTCTTCATGGTTCTTCAGTTGGCCAGCTGCTAAGAGAAGCTGTGCTTGCAAGCTTTCACAGCAACTGCTCTGGTTCGTGTCTCCGACATCATTAAATCAGAGAGAGCCACATCAAGATCACATACCATTTGGTAATGCAACTGTACATTCAAAATCGTCACTACTTTGCACGCAGCAATCAGCTTAAAAGCTAGAACCAATCGCTCTGCTACAATTTCCCTCTGCAAAATGTTCACGAAATTTTGCTCCAAATCCACCGTGATATTGGCCATCACTGTACTCACAGTCTGTGGCGCCAAGGTGGTTGCATATGACACACCTCGACCAACAACAAATTCCGATTCCTCGACGCCTTCCCCGATGGTTTGGACGGTTTCGACATATCTCAAGTCTATGGAACCATCTGAGGTGTCACCATGCAGGAGATTGGGATTTGAAACTGCGGATTCTGCCGTGAAGAGAAGTTGTGATGGTGCTGCCACTGTATCCACTGTGTCAATGGCTGACATGGCCGTGACCAGCTCCATGATGCCATCATCTACCTCCAATTTCTTAAGCTCCCAAGAGGGGTGTCTGGGCCAAAAGAGGGCCACAGAAATTCCGCTGCCAAGAGCGAGTCCAAAGAAACAGCTGCAAAATACACAGCGGCATCTCCAGCGACTTCTCCAGCGTTCCTTGGGGACTGAGTCTTTACTTCTCCAGCCTCCCTCGGAGATACGGGGAGCACTTGGCCGTGCTTCGAGGCTCGGGAGGCTGGGCGGATTGGTTCGAGTGCTTTGGACGCTCGTCCCCGTGCGACCGCTGCGACCACTGCGACCGCTCGGGCTGGGACCGCTTCGAGCGCTTCGAGCGCTTGGAGCGCTTCGGCCGCTGGGACCGGAGGCCGTTCCGCTGGCTCCACTGGTTCCGCCGTCGGCGCTTTGTCCAGTGTAGCTGTAGCCGAAGGCACTCAAGACTCAGGAAACGCACGCAAAGGTGGATAAAGCTGGCAAAGAGGGCGGGCAGGTCAGTCCCAGATCATGAATATCATTGAATATCCCATATATTATCATATGTTACAATATGTTACAATATGTTACAATATACGTATCGATGTTGTTTGACATGAAGCCACCGCAACACCAAGGGATCGCAGCAGTGATTAAGTCATTCTTTGACATGACACACCCGAAGAAAATGGTGGTGCATCATGCATCACAGTTATTCAGTTATTCATCATCATTTTCCCTACAAAGTGGCCGTGTTTATGCGATATGTTCCCATATGATTCACATATCCCTATGAAATAGCCATAAATAACCATTTTCAAGCCCAAGGCGACCAGATATGACGAAGGCACTTTTCTCGGTGGTGCTTCGGCCGCCCACCAGGCACTCCTCTTCTCGCCGGCCCGGCAGATGCTTCGATGGCTCCCGCAGGATGTCCGGGACGTCGTCGTCCGACTCGGAGGGCACCACGACTTCCACCTCCACCTGTTCCACCTGGCCGTGGTCGGCCGTGGAAGCCCCACTAAAAATGCGGAGTCCAGCGGAGTCCAGCGGAGTCCAGCGGAGTCCAGCGGAGTCCAGCGGAGTCCAGTACCAATGGTTCTGGCTCTACAAATCTGGGATGTGGCCGATGTAAACGCAACGTGATGGGGTTGACATGAAAAATGATGCTTCATGAAATGTGTTGAAAACAAAGCAAATGCAAAGGATGTGGACAAGTCATTCAAAGTTCACCCTTGACGTTTGCAGGATCCCTCTTTTCATCGCCATGTCTGAGAGTTTTGCCAAGGGCCATCGGAATTCTGCAGTCTGTTTAAATCTGTTCAATTATGTTACCGAGGCCTTGCTGCATTCCGATGCATCTGACAGAATGTTGAGGAGAATACCTCAAGTGCCCCAAGGGTCCAGATATGTCGAGATTCGACCAGCATCATCTGAGAGTCTGATTTTTGAAGCGGAAATTTACGCGTGCGTACTTTTCAGGCATAGAATCACGTCCCAAGTTGTCGCTAAGCAAGAACTACAGAAGTCCGACACCAGGGTCCTCTGAACGTTTTGTCACTTTGCTTTATTCATCTTTCGAGCTTCTCACATCTTCTCACATCTGTCCAAATCTTCGATCCATTTCGATCCCTTTTCTGTCACTATCACTCCAAACTCTGTGTCATAGTATCCAATATATTTCAATCCGCAAAAACAAAAAAGAATCACAGAAAACTCATCAGCCTTTCCAGCCTCCGTAAAACGTCCTGGGTTCCCAGACCACTTCTGCCAGTTCGGCTGCCGGAACTCCAGAGGCTGCGCGGAGTGGGCACCGCCTCGTCTCGCCTCAAACGACAACGGTTCACTGATTTCACTGGCGGTTTGCAAAAATTCACGTTGAAAAAACAAACCCAGAAATAGCCTCAAAATACCTATAAGTAGGGCCTAAGTCAATTGAACATCTATATGGTGGGAATCGAAACCTTTCATTTAGTTTTTAAGGTGCTTGGGAGTCCAAACAACCGAGCCAACCACAAAAATCTGGTTACGCATTCCAACCACTGAGCCCTGCACCCCACAGCCTTCATAGCTGCAAGACGCTTGAGCCCATCGGTGCCAAAAAAAAAAACGATGCCGCGATGCCAACCGACATCATCCGACATCGATGCCTTGTGCAACACATTTTATCACATGTTCGACATTCAAATCACCATCACGATAGTGACATGGAATCTTCACCACGCGACAGGGTCCCCCAAACTCATCTCGTGTTTTCAAGTGTGTGAATGTGTTTGTTTTGGCCTGCACGTTTCAGGTGTATCAAATAATTTTAACCACTTCCAACTTCCAACAGGCAACAAACCTCTGATATCTCTGAGCTGCAACCATTTTCAATCACAATCTCCCTTGGATCAGTCAGCACCTGTTGCTATGCCCAGTCCTTCCAGTCCTTAAAACTGCTCCCGTCTGGGTTAGTGCGAAGATGTGGAAAGACAATGGTGCTGTAAAATGCTGTGTTTCCCCTGCGGTTCACAACATCAACATCCACTGGTCTATGGATGTTCCTGGCAAACGAAGGTAACGAAGGGACCAAGGGACCACGGGAAGGAAGCTGGATTAAGTTGGCCACTCACGAACTATTCGTGCAGGCTAAAATTTGCGAAAATCGAAGACTATAAATGTGCCCGTTCAGCCTTTGAGCACGAGAGCAGTGCTGGGCACTAGGGTCTGGAAATGAACCTTGCCTGTTCTGTTCCGAGCTTGCACTCCTATTGCACAAGCCCCTTGTTGAATTCATGCGGAAAACAGTCGAATTCTACAAAATCCGGAACCCTTCAAAACTCATAGCGCTCAGTTACGATCAGAAGGGTGCCATGGCTACCATCTGCTCTGTCAATCTTTGCCAGTCAGAAATATTTGTAGCTGCAATTTTTGCTCTCAACCACTGCCGGTTTCGTCTCTCCGAAGAGTTCAGCTACTGAGGCTTCGATGTCGCACTCCATCCTGCAGTGGAGCTGCAAACCTGACCGCATCGGCAGTTTTCCAATGCTTTCCATGGATCCACCACAATGGAAGAATATAGAAAAGTCAATGAAAAGTCAACGAACCAGAAAGAACACAAAACGCCCATAATAATTGTACCTATGTGTCTTCTCTACTTCTCTCGGTATAATTATATGTTTTCATCATTTTTCATCATGTTTCATCATGTTTCATCATGTTTCATCATTTTTCATCGTTTTTCATCATGGGCCCATGGATATGACAGGATCAAATGTGTTCTGTTCCGTCGCATCGGACTCTGAGGACTGAACCAAAGATGGACTTCACCGTAGCACCACCTCTGACTTTCACTTTCGTGTGGAGGGAATTCTGCAGGACATCTGTTGTGATCTCTTGAAAAAGGGCAGGGTCCAACTTCACCCGGATGTCTGCCTGGCATCTGGCTCGAACGATTGGGGTGGCTTGATATGATTGCGTAAGTTAACATCATTTGTTGGATGCATTAGACACAGAGTTCGTGATGTGCGTGCATGTTCAAGATGAATGCGGGGTATGAACATGGGTATATGTGTTTCCCGTGTTCCCACCCCCCCTTTCTCATGGGGCCCATACTTCCCAGCCCAAACCTCCATTTGCACGTTATTGCACCATTCGGGAACCGCAGCCCCCCATTTGCATGTTGGACCCAGAACCTCCCAACAAGACCCTAGCTACCTACACTTCAAAACCAAGCTACCTCTGTGTTACCTACCAAGCTCCCGTTCTTCTACCGTTCTTCGACCTACGTACTACGTATATGCAGCATGCACCTACGTACTACCTATATATATGTGTGTGTGTGTGCATGTGCATATACATTTACCAAAACAAAATATTACAGAATAAAGAACAAATAGTCAGGTGTCTTGGACAACCCAAATATTACAGTATGTCATACTTGCATACTCTCAATATACAAAGCTAGGTCTAGGTTCACGGCTCATCTTTCGCCGTGAGTCAAAGTGACATTCTGATGATGTATATGCTGCAATCAGATCACCACAATTCCATAGGTTTCTAGTCTTCTTCTGTGGTCGATGTCTGCGAAATTGCATTTTTTCTTCTCTGCAAAATGCGGGTGAGCCAGTCGCATCTTCACCAAAGTTTGGTCAAGTGGCGGAAGAAAGCGACAGCATTCAAGTGTCCCAAGTTTTTTTCGCCAAGCCCATGAAAACTAAAGTGATCCCCCAAGTTGTTCAATAATCTAACCAAAAAATAAACTCTTGAAACAACAACGTCTGTAACCACATTTGCAATGAGCGGTGGTCCAACTACGTACCACCCACCTATATGATACTTTCTACAACATACAAACTATCTCCATACTACTTATATATTGATATACTATCTGTGTCCCCAGCGTAACGATATACTATACTTACCTGCTCCTTCTACCTGTACATAAGCTAAATACAACCATGCTTCACATAGACTATAGATATACTACTTGCACGTTGCCTATTTGACTTATCACCGCACCCCCCCAAGGGTGGGAAACTGAACCCACGTTTTGTCTGTTCTTGGCGTTCATATGCTAGACATTGGATGCGAAACGCATGGTTTTTGGCAAACAATTCAGTTCATGATATTCGCCGTGCCACTGTGTTTTGGTTTTTTCCTGCGTTTTGCATTGTTTTCTGCATTCATGAGCTTCCAAAATCAGCGTCATTTTTTTGCAGTTTTCTTGAAATATGCAGGTTTTAGCACATTTCTGCGCGCGTTTTTGTTCTATCGCCAAGGACAGTCATCTAGACTGACTGGACAGTCTCATTCAAGACTTTGGCAGTCTTTTGAAACAAGCTGTTTCCAGTGTTCCCCCATCTCCATTGCCAGGATCTGCAATGCTTGATCAAAGCCGGGTTATAAGTGTGTCCTTTCTTCGAAGCTAGAGACTTGGGAACAGCTTGCTTCAACAAACGCCATGCGTTATCGATATGTGAGGCAGTGCAAGAAGACGTACAGCAGCGTAGCATCATGTATGTGAGGAAGTGCAAGAAGACTTACAGTAGCGTAGCATCATATATGTGAGGCAGTGCAAGAAGACTTACAGTAGCTTAGCATCATGTATGTGAGGAAGTTCAGGAAGACGTAAAGATCGTAAAGTAGCGTAGCATCATATATGTGCGGAAGTGCAAGAAGACGTACAGTTGCGTATCATCATGTATGTGAGGAAGTGCAGGAAGACTTACAGAAGCGTAGCATCATGTATGTGAGGAAGTGCAAGAAGACTTACAGAAGCGTAGCATCATGTATGTGAGGAAGTGCAAGAAAACTGACAGTAGCGTAGCATCATATATGTGCGGAAGTGCAAGAAGACGTACAGTAGCGTAGCATCATGTATGTGCGCAAGTGCAAGAAGACGTACAGTAGCGTAGCATCATGTATGTGAGGAAGTGCAAGAAGACTTACAGTAGCGTAGCATCATTATGTATGTGAGGAAGTTCAGGAAGACGTAAAGTAGCGTAGCATCATGTATGTGAGGAAGTGCAAGAAGACGTACAGTAGCGTAGCATCATGTATGTGCGGAAGTGCAAGAAGACGTACAGTAGCGTAGCATCATGTATGTGAGGAAGTGCCAGTAGCATCATGTATGTGAGGAAGGCAAGAAGACGTACAGTAGCGTAGCATCATATATGTGAGGAAGTGCAAGAAGACGTACAGTAGCGTAGCATCAAAAAATGTGAGGCAGTGCAAGAAGACTTACAGTCGCGTAGCATCATGTTTGTGAGGAAATTCAGGAAGACGTAAAGTAGCGTAGCATCATGTATGTGCGGAAGTGCAAGAAGACGCACAGTAGCGTAGCATCATGTATTTGAGGAAGTGCAAGAAGACTTACAGTAGCGTAGCATCATGTATGTGAGGAAGTTCAGGAAGACGTAAAGTAGCGTAGCATCATGTATGTGCGGAAGTGCAAGAAGACGTACAGTAGCGTAGCATCATGTATTTGAGGAAGTGCAAGAAGACTTACAGTAGCGTAGCATCATGTATGTGAGGAAGTTCAGGAAGACGTAAAGTAGCGTAGCATCATGTATGTGCGGAAGTGCAAGAGGACGTACAGTAGCGAAGCATCATGTATGTGAGGAAGTGCAAGAAGACTTACAGTAGCGTAGCATCATGTATATGAGGAAGTTCAGGAAGACGTAAAGTAGCGTAGCATCATGTATGTGCGGAAGTGCAAGAAGACGTACAGTAGCGTAGCATCATGTATTTGAGGAAGTGCAAGAAGACTTACAGTAGCGTAGCATCATTATGTATGTGAGGAAGTTCAGGAAGACGTAAAGTAGCGTAGCATCATATATGTGCGGAAGTGCAAGAAGACGTACAGTAGCGTAGCATCATGTATTTGAGGAAGTGCAAGAAGACTTACAGTAGCGTAGCATCATGTATGTGAGGAAGTTCAGGAAGACGTAAAGTAGCGTAGCATCATGTATGTGCGGAAGTGCAAGAAGACGTACAGTAGCGAAGCATCATGTATTTGAGGAAGTGCAAGAAGACTTACAGTAGCGTAGCATCATGTATGTGAGGAAGTTCAGGAAGACGTAAAGTAGCGTAGCATCATGTATGTGCGGAAGTGCAAGAAGACGTACAGTAGCGAAGCATCATGTATTTGAGGAAGTGCAAGAAGACTTACAGTAGCGTAGCATCATGTATGTGAGGAAGTTCAGGAAGACGTAAAGTAGCGTAGCATCATGTATGTGCGGAAGTGCAAGAAGACGTACAGTAGCGTAGCATCATGTATTTGAGGAAGTGCAAGAAGACTTACAGTAGCGTAGCATCATGTATGTGAGGAAGTTCAGGAAGACGTAAAGTAGCGTAGCATCATGTATGTGCGGAAGTGCAAGAAGACGTACAGTAGCGAAGCATCATGTATGTGAGGTAGTGCAAATGAACGTGTTTAGCCCACCCCCATGAAAGAAATAAAAACATGCAAAACGCTGGTTCGGTTTTCCACCCGTAGGCTTAAACTACCAGGACCAAGAGAGGTGCGGACCGGGCCTGAACGTTGCCACTCCCAAGTGCTGGAATGGCCACTGGCTCACTCTGTCCGCCTCCCAATAACTTGTCCTTGTAAAGTACTTTGAAGTCACCAGATGCTACCGTTCCTCCAATCAAATTGGGATTTTCTAATGTGGCCCCTGCATGAAAAATCACCTTTGGAAGTGCTGTATCATTTTTCAAGCCACCGCTGCCAAAGGCCACCACAAAGAACATCAAAGCGGATTCATCTAAGACGTCCAGGTTGGTGAGGTTCCAGCTAGGATCACGCGGCCAAAGCGCGACTATTGCGGCCCCAGCCAACAAGGCGAAACCCGCCAAGATGGACAAAATCTTGGCTCGCAACGAACAACATCGCGGCGCCTCAAGATGCACCGAGATGCACCAAGATTCATGAACGTTTCCGGAAACATCATCTTCTATCATCATTATTCTAATCATTTATATATATATATTTATATTATATAATCTATAGTCATCTATCATCATCTATCATCTATCATGACCTGTAGCAAGAAAACCCACCGCCGATTTGGGACCTTTACCAGTCAGACCATGCCATGGCAGATTCTTAAGACTTGAGTCATCTTGAGTCTATGGCTCTCGCTAACTACAGACCCCGTGGATTGCCCGGACTGCAACATTGAGGATGTCGTGTTGTGGAACATGATAGGAGAGATTGCAGAAAATACAGTATACGGTATACGCATGTATACGCAGTGTTTTCAGGTTTTGGATGCAAAGGTTTGAGTGTTTCGGTTTTTTTGATGTTTTTTGGGTGGTTTAGGGTTTTAGGCTTCAGGGTTTTAGGGTTTTTCAGGCGGGTTTTAGCCTTTAGGTAGGGTTTAGGGTTCGTCGTCTGGGAAATCTCAAAACACTGGCCCTGCGCAGGTGTCTGAGCATGTTGAAGGAAAATGTTTGAACACCATTTGAACCTTCCGGGCAAACCATGGGATCATAGGGTCTTGCCGTAACTATACATATATAGAATACATATATACATATATAGCTACCTGGTGCGCAGAACATTGTACAACCTTCACATCTAAGGATCCGCATGTCTCATGCCACATGCCATGTCACGATCTGATCATGTCATCTGCTTTGGCTCTACGCCGTCTTAGCCGCTGGCTTCGGCTTTCACAGGGCTTCCTGCAGATCCTGCAGCCATCTATGAAAATGACAGAAGACATCAGAAGACCTGAAAATGTCAGCGTGACAATGAGATACACTGAGTATGAGTCAGCATGACTAAGGATGACTATGAAAATGTGTGACAAAAGATGCCTTCCATCTGTACCAGTGCTCTTAGTGCCCGCAATGGTCTCAACAAATGTGTCTCCAACCACTCCTTCGCATTGCTTCTCCACGTCACCTGCTTCGACCACATTGGTTTCTGTGGCGTTCTCTGGCTTCACGGTGCCTGCTACGTACCATTGCATAGCAGCTACAGCAAATGGCATAGCAACGTCACATCACCGAGCACAAACTCGAAGTCAACTGGACATAATTATGACATAACTTAACCAACTCTACCGCAGTGCCCCAGCCTCTGAAGCACCCCATGGTGCAGAGAATCAACCGAAAAAAGGAGTTTATACAGCCAATGAGACAATGAGATACAATGAATGAGTCAGTATGAGTCACTATGAGGATGAAAATGCGCGGCCACAAAATTCGGAAATGCCAGATGAAAAGGCAAGGAAAAGATTCGTTCCGTCTGCCTCCAGTGCTCTCCGTGCTTTCTGTGCTCTCAACAAAAATCGCAGGCACGTCTCCAATCACCAGTCCTTTGCATTGCTTCTCCACGTCGACTTCTTTGGCCACATTGGTCTCTGTGGCGTTCTCTGTCTTGGCAGAACCTGATGCATATCAGGTGGCATAGCAACATCACATCGCCGCGCACAAACTGGAAGTGAACTGGACACTAAACCCACTCAACCAGACTCTACCGCAGTGCCCCAGCCTCTGAAGCACCTCATAGTCCAGAGAATCAGACACAAAGGAAACTGGAACTTAGGAAAATGGCTGCAGAAAATGCATTGTATGATATTGTATGAACTCATGGGCAAAGAGACAAACTGTAGATTCAACTCAGAGTGGTTCCAAAAAAAGAAAACCATCAATCGGACTCCACAAACAAATCAGCCTTCGCAGCAACAGTCGTGTACGGTGTGTGTGGTTTTCGGGTTGACAAGCAATCAGGCATTCCCAGGTGGAGATGCAACAGCATCAGAACCAACAGCAGGCATTTTCACGCGGGCCTGCCTACAGCCTCCGGAACTGCCCGAACTAAAGCGCACATTTGGCACTGATCAAGCGAAATGGATCGAAATGGAACGTCACCAAATGCCCATAGCCTGAGCATCTTGCCGGTTCAACTATGTTACCGAGGCCTTGCTCCATTCCGATGCATCTGACAGAATGTTGAGGAGAATACCTCAAGTGCCCAGGGCCCTAAGGATGCCATGATTTCTGTCAGATTCGACCAACTTCATCTGAGAGTCATGATTTTTTGAAGCGGAAATTTACGCATTTGCTTTTCAGGCATAGAATCCGCAAAAACAAAAAAGAATCACAGAAAACTCATCAGCCTTTCCAGCCAGATTCCGTAAAACGTCCTGGGTTCCCAGACCACTTCTGCCAGTTCGGCTGCCGGAACTCCAGAGGCTGCGCGGAGTGGGCACCGCCTCGTCTCGCCTCAAACGACCCAAACGGTTCACTGATTTCACTGGCGGTTTGCAAAAATTCACTTTGAAAAATCTCATGCTTGCTATGTATGTATGTATCTATATCTATATATATATATACTTACACATCCGAAAAATACAAACCCAGAAATAGCCTCAAAATACCTAAATCATCCTAAATCGATTCAATATCTATGAGAAGCCAAACCTTCATTTAGTTCCCCAAACAGCGCGTCCACACTGAGGGCTCTTACCCTAGGAGTTAAGGCCGGGGTTAGATCAGGGTACGCCATCGGTTTTGTGGCATTTTTGCCGTAATTTTTTGCATGAAATTGCTCTTGTGAGATGTCCCTGTGCATTTCGACTGCGCAGGCTTGCACACAAAATGGTTGTCCCGCCCTTGGTCCCTTCTATGAGAATCGTGGTGCACTCTCAGCACTCTTGGAGGTCTCAGTGAAATATGACCAAGGTCTTGTTGAGGTCCTTGTGAGAATCTGCTGTGAAGATCCTGATGGAATCCTGTCAGAGGTCCTTGCATGATCGGTCCTTATGAGAAGATCTTGTGAAAATCCTGCTGGCGTCCTGTAAGAGGTCCTTGCATGATCTTGCGCGGCCCTTATAATAAAATCCTGCAGAATCCTGCTCAATTCCTCTTCAGAGGTCCGTGCATGATCCTGCACACGTCTTTAACAGAAGATCTTGTGCAGATGCCATGTCTTAGAGGTGCTCGTGTGAAAGCTCTTGTGGGAGGCTCTTGGGAAGCTCTTGTATCAAGATCGTATCTTGTAAGATCCGCTTCAGCCGCAGGTCCTTTTATGACGATCTTGCGGGATTCTCTCAGGAGTCCTAGCATGAAGATCTTGGTCAAGGTCTTTTACATGCGTTTGTGAGACGATCTTTTGGAGATCCTTGGCATGCTACCAAAAGCCTTTAGATGAACGTACAGGTCCGCGTGAGAAGCTCTTGACGAGGTGTCCTGCCTCAGGATCTTCATTGGGTCTTGTGCCAGGGGCCTTTGCATGATCTTGTACAGGTCCTTGTGACAAGATCTTGTGGGGATCCGGTTGAAATCCTCTCGGTGTCCTTACATCATCTGGCACAGGTCCTTGTCAGAAGATCTTGCGGAGATCCTGTTGGAATCCTCCTCAAGAGGTCCTTGGATTAAGATCTTGGAAGATCTTGAAGATCCTCTCTGGTACGAAAATTCTTCTGGGGTGATCACAGGAAGTTCGTTGTATGCAGATCTTGTGAGCTCCTCTGCATAGATCTATATAGAAGGTCCTGCTGCTGCAGTTCCCATAATGTCTAACCTCATCAGTTCCTGTTCCATAGCTACTATGGCCCTACCCCCCACACTGTTTGGGGTCTCTTACCAGTGTAATTTTCGAGAGAGGCCCAAACAACCGAGCCAACCACAAGGAATCTGATTGCGCATTCCAACCACTAAGCCCTGCACCCCACAGCCTTCATAGCTGCAAGACGCTTGAGCCCATCGGTGCAAAAAAAATGAGGATGCCGCGATGCCAACCTTGTCGTGCAACACATTTTATCACATGTTCACATCCACCACCGCATCACCCATCATGATGGGATCACTTGGAATCTTCACTGGGCGACGTGTGTATAAATTCTTTTGTATTGACCTGTAGTTTCAAAGGTATCCTTTGTGACAAATAATCTTCCTCTAATCTCAACATATCTCAACAGGCAACAAACCTCTGATTCTGCGACCATTTTGAGCCCACCTCCCTTGGATCAGTCTGCACCTGTTGCTATGCCTATGCCCAGTCCTTCCTGTTCAAACTGTTCCCGTCATCCCGCTGGGTACGTGCAAGGACAACGGTGCTGGCGAAACATGCTGTGTTTACAATTCACAACATCCATTGGCAAAAGAAAATCACGAAGGGAAGCTGGGAAATGCCGGGCTGATCTACATTCCAGAGGGCAGCGGCTGATGAATTCAGCCACTTGTCACAAAGGCTGGCTATGCTGCTTGCATCTGGCTGATAACTAAATGTGCTAGGCACTAGGGCCTTCTGGTAGGCCTACTGTTGGAACAGAACGGCCTTCTGGTAGGCCCACTGTTGGGACAGAACCTTGCCTGTCCGAGCTTGCACTCCTACGGCGCAAACTCCGTAAATGATGAATTCATGGGAAATCCTCTCGAATTCTACAAAATCCGGAACCCTTCAAAACTCATAGCGCTCAGTTACGATCAGAAGGGTGCCATGGCTACCATCTGCTCTGTCAATCTTTGCCAGTCAGAAATATTTGTAGCTGCAATTTTTGCTCTCAACCACTGCCGGTTTCGTCTCTCCGAAGAGTTCAGCTACTGAGGCTTCGATGTCGCACTCCATCCTGCAGTGGAGCTGCAAACCTGACCGCATCGGCAGTTTTCCAATGCTTTCCATGGATCCACCACAATGGAAGAATATAGAAAAGTCAATGAAAAGTCAACGAACCAGAAAGAACACAAAACGCCCATAATAATTGTACCTATGTGTCTTCTCTACTTCTCTCGGTATAATTATATGTTTTCATCATTTTTCATCATGTTTCATCATGTTTCATCATGTTTCATCATTTTTCATCGTTTTTCATCATGGGCCCATGGATATGACAGGATCAAATGTGTTCTGTTCCGTCGCATCGGACTCTGAGGACTGAACCAAAGATGGACTTCACCGTAGCACCACCTCTGACTTTCACTTTCGTGTGGAGGGAATTCTGCAGGACATCTGTTGTGATCTCTTGAAAAAGGGCAGGGTCCAACTTCACCCGGATGTCTGCCTGGCTCGAGCGAACAGAATGTGATGCACTTGGCTTTGTTTTTTGGGGGGGTAAAGGTTTCATATGACTGCATAACTTAAGATGTGTGATGTAATTTGCACACGGATCCTTGAAGCACACAGCGCGCACATGTGCGAGATGGGGTTTGAAATGGTCGAAGGGAGTTTAGAAGTCAAACTTCCGACAATACGGACAGATGAAAAGCAGAGATGGGAAGAGTCAGAGAAGAGAAGAGAAGAGAAGAGAAGAGAAGAGAAGAAAGAGAAGAGAAGAGAAGAGAAGAAAGAGAAGAGAAGAGAAGAGAAGAGAAGAGAAGAGAAGAGAAGAGAAGAGAAGAGAAGAGAAGAGAAGAGACGAGAAGAGACGAGACGAGAAGAGAAGAGAAGAGAAGAGAAGAAGAAAGAAGAAAGAAGAAAGAAGACCAAAAAAGACATGCAGGCGCGCGAAAAGGTAGGAATCTCGCGAAAAGGTGGTCGAAAAGTGGGTTCGCTAAAGCGGCAGGTGCGGAGCCGTCTGGCCAGGTGAGAGATGAAAAGTTGCACGCCGTTGTGGCGCGAAACAATTTCGAAATCAAAATGCACAAAACACCTCAGCTTCGGAGCGCTTTTAGAAGTTGCGATGTCGAAAAAGTGCACGCCGTTGTGGCGCGAAGCACATTTCGAAGTCAAAAATGCAAAAAACGGAGGGGTACGGAGCACTTTTGGAAGTTGAGAGCTCGAAAAAGTGCACACCGTTGTGGCGCGAAGCACATTTCGAAGTCAAAAGTGCAAAAAAACGGAGGGGTACGGAGCACTTTTGGAAGTTGAGAGCTCGAAAAAGTGCACACCGTTGTTGCGCGAAGCAAATTTCGAAGTCAAAAATGCAAAAAACGGAGGGGTACGGAGCACTTTTGGAAGCTGAGAGGTCGAAAAAGCGCACACCGTTGTGGCGCGAAGCACATTTCGAAGTCAAAAATGCAAAAAACGGAGGGGTACGGAGCACTTTTGGAAGTTGAGAGCTCGAAAAAGTGCACACCGTTGTGGCGCGAAGCACATTTCGAAGTCAAAAGTGCAAAAAAACGGAGGGGTACGGAGCACTTTTGGAAGTTGAGAGGTCGAAAAAGTGCACACCGCTGTGGCGCGAAGCACATTTCGAAGTCAAAAGTGCAAAAAAACGGAGGGGTACGGAGCACTTTTGGAAGTTGAGAGGTCGAAAAAGTGCACACCGCTGTGGCGCGAAACACATTTCGAAGTCAAAAGTGCAAAAGACGGAGGGGTACGGAGCACTTTTGGAAGTTGAGAGGTCGAAAAAGTGCACACCGTTGCGGCGCGAAGCACATTTCGAAGTCAAAAGTGCAAAAAACGGAGGGGTACGGAGCACTTTTGGAAGTTGAGAGGTCGAAAAAGTGCACACCGTTGTGGCGCGAAGCACATTTCGAAGTCAAAAGTGTAAAAAACGGAGGGGTACGGACCCCTTTTGGAAGTTGAGAGCTCGAAAAAGTGCACATCGTTGTGGCGCGAAGCAAATTTCGAAGTCAAAAATGCAAAAAACGGAGGGGTACGGAGCACTTTTGGAAGCTGAGAGGTCGAAAAAGCGCACACCGTTGTGGCGCGAAGCACATTTCGAAGTCAAAAGTGGAAAAAACGGAGGGGTACGGAGCACTTTTGGAAGCTGAGAGGTCGAAAAAGCGCAGACAGTTGTGGCGCGAAGCACATTTCGAGACAGACAGACAGACAGACAGACAGATAGAGATAGAGAGATAGAGAGATAGAGAGATAGAGAGATAGAGATAGAGAGATAGAGAGATAGAGAGATAGAGAGATAGAGAGATAGAGAGATAGAGAGATAGAGAGATAGATGGATAGATAGATAGATAGAAAGATAGAAAGATAGATAGAGAGAGAGAGAGATAGGCCGATAGATAGATAGATAGATTAGATTAGATTAGATTAGATCAGATTAGATTAGATTGATAGATAGATAGGTAGATAGATAGATAGATGGGTATGGATAGATGGATAGATGGATAGATGGATAGATGGATAGATGGATAGATGGATAGATGGATAGATGGATGGTGGATAGATGGATAGATGGATAGATGGATAGATGGATAGATGGATAGATGGATAGATGGATAGATGGATAGATGGATAGATGGATAGATGGGCAGATGGAGAGATGGAGAGATGGAGAGATGGAGAGATGGAGAGATGGAGAGATGGAGAGATGGAGAGATGGAGAGATGGAGAGATGGAGAGATGGATAGATGGATAGATGGATAGATGGATGGATGGATAGATAGATAGATAGATAGATGGATAGATAGATAGGTAGATAGACAGATAGATAGATAGACAACTACAACAATAACTACAACTACACTATACTACTACTATAACTACAAATGCAGATAAACTATGCTACATTACACTACACTAATTACACTACAACTACAACAACAACAACAACAACTACTACTACTACTACTCACAGCTACAACTACAATTACAACTACACCACATTACACTACACTGCGCTAATTACACTGCTGCACACTACAACTACAGATACAAATGCGACTACAACTACATTACATTACACAACACTACACTACACTAATTACAGTACATTACACTACAACTACAACTACAACTGCCACTACAAGTGCAACTACCACTACATTGCACTACACGGCTCTACGCTAATTGCACTACACTACAACTACAACTACAACTACAACTACACTACACTAGACTACATTACACTCTGCCAAACTACAGCACACAACACTACAGCACACTACAATACACTACACTAATTACACCACACAACAACTACAACTGCAACTGCAACTACACTACACTAATTACACAACATTGCAACTACACACTACACTACACTACAACTACGACTACCGCTACAACTGCACTACACCACACTACATCCAGCAGTTGTGGTGAGATGACCACTGCAAACATTGCAACCACTCCAAAAAACACAACTCCAACCACCTTTCGGTCCATCAGTGGATTCGCTCTGCCATCCGTGATTCACAACAACCAACCTCTCCTATAGGTTTCCTATGTTTGAAACTTCTGCCACCGCCTTACGCGGTACTACTGGCATGAACACAGCTATCTAAGGTACATATGTGTGTATATTATGTATATGTATAATTGTACAAGTATAAGTATACATGTATATTACTACATACGGTATGGGCGCCTGAGGAAACACACACACTCCCCAAGCTGAAGAATCGGAAGAATGCGAAGAAGGACCCGGCCTGAACGTTGCCACTCCCAAGTGCTGGAACGGCCACTGGCTCACTCTGTCCGCCTCCCAGTAACTTGTCCTTGTAAAGTACTTTGAAGTCACCAGATGCTGCGGTTCCTCCAATCAAATTGGGATTTTCTAATGTGGCCCCTGCACGAAAAATCACCTCTGGAAGTGCTGTATCATTTTTTAAGCCACCGCTGCCAAAGGCCATCACAAAGAACATCAAAGCGGATTCATCTAAGACGTCCAGGTTGGTGAGGTTCCAGCTAGGATCACGCGGCCAAAGCGCGACTATTGCGGCCCCAGCCAACAAGGCGAAACCCGCCAAGATGGACAAAATCTTGGCTCGCAACGAACAACATCTCGGCGCCTCAAGATGCACCGAGATGCACCAAGATTCATGAACGTTTCCGGAAACATCATCTTCTATCATCATTATTCTAATCATTTATATATATATATATCATCTATCATCATCTATCATCATCTATCATCTATCATGACCTGTAGCAAGAAAACCCACCGCCGATTTGGGACCTTTACCAGTCAGACCATGCCATGGCAGATTCTTAAGACTTGAGTCATCTTGAGTCTATGGCTCTTGTCCATTAGCTAACTATAGCAAAGTATTAATGTAACTTTCGCTTGAGTCAAGCCTAAATATGTAACAGCGAGCACGATCTAGACCACATTTTTTTAGCACGAAGAGCACGATTTTTGCACAAAGGAGAGCAGCAAAAAGCATGATCTCGAGCACAATTTTTGGCACGAGGGAGAGCGCCAAAAAGCACCATTTTTAGCACGAAAGAGAGCACCAAAAAGCACGATCTAGAGCGCGATTTTTGCACAAGGAGAGCACCAAAAGGCTTCACGCGGATAGAAACCCGCGTCGTTTCGTGCATCAGAGCATTTTGTTCTTGTTGCTTGGATTTTATGATTCATGTTCCGCAGCCATTTGCATGTTAATTTTCCTGCGTTTTCCCATATAATTTCAGCTTGCCTCATCATGCAGACAAATTTCATCGTTCAACAAATCAAATTTCATGTGCAGAAAAGTGAAAAGCAGACACCGCAAAATTATCAATCTATGTTTACAGAAGTGACAAGCTTTGAAGAAGTGAAGTTGTCATATACAAGAGCATCAAAGTTTCAACCTCTTGCATGATGTGTGTGTGTGCAAGTTAACATGAACGTGTTTACCCCACCCCACCCCACCCCACCATAGCGTAGCATGACGTGTGTGTGTGTGTGCAAGCGCAAGAGAAGATCACCCTAGCGTAGCATGACGTCGGTGTGCAAGTTAACATGAACGTTATTACCCCACCCCACCCCACCCCACCATAGCGTAGCATGACGTGTGTGTGTGTGTGCAAGCGCAAGAGAAGATCACCCTAGCGTAGCATGACGTCGGTGTGCAAGTTAACATGAACGTTATTACCCCACCCCACCTCACCCCACCATAGCGTAGCATGACGTGTGTGTGCAAGCACAAGAGAAGATCACCCTAGCGTAGCATGACGTCGGTGTGCAAGTTAACATGAACGTTATTACCCCACCCCACCCCACCCCACCATAGCGTAGCATGACGTGCGTGTGCAAGCGCAAGAGAAGATCACCCTAGCGTAGCATGACGTCGGTGTGCAAGTTAACATGAACGTTATTACCCCACCCCACCCCACCCCACCATAGCGTAGCATGACGTGTGTGTGCAAGCGCAAGAGAAGATCACCCTAGCGTAGCATGACGTCGGTGTGCAAGTTAACATGAACGTTATTACCCCACCCCACCCCACCATAGCGTAGCATGACGTGTGTGGGCAAGCGCAAGAGAAGTGTAGCAAGCAAGAGAAGATCACCCTACCGTAGCATGACGTCGGTGTGCAAGTTAACATGAACGTTATTACCCCACCCCACCCCACCCCACCCATATAAGCACGATCTAGAGCGCGATTTTTGCACAAGGAGAGCACCAAAAGCACGATGTTTGCACGATGTTTTGCACGATTTTTGGCACGAGGGAGAGCACCGATAACACTCAAAACAACGTTTGCCCAAAATATGTTGCAGCTATCAGCGGACTCAAACATACTCGAACTATAGCCTATAGCTAATTAGTATGTACAAGATTGTGGGATTCTCACATCGATCCGCATCTTGTCTCATGCCACATGCCATGATCATGCCATCTGCTTTGGCTCTACGCCGTCTTAGCCGCTGGCTTCGGCTTTCACAGGGCTTCCTGCAGATCCTGCAGCCATCTATGAAAATGACAGAAGACATCAGAAGACCTGAAAATGTCAGCGTGACAATGAGATACACTGAGTATGAGTCAGCATGACTAAGGATGACTATGAAAATGTGTGACAAAAGATGCCTTCCATCTGTACCAGTGCTCTTAGTGCCCGCAATGGTCTCAACAAATGTGCCTCCAACCACTCCTTCGCATTGCTTCTCCACGTCACCTGCTTCGACCACATTGGTTTCTGTGGCGTTCTCTGGCTTCACGGTGCCTGCTACGTACCATTGCATAGCAGCTACAGCAAATGGCATAGCAACGTCACATCACCGAGCACAAACTCGAAGTCAACTGGACATAATTATGGCATAACTCAACCAACTCTACCGCAGTGCCCCAGCCTCTGAAGCACCCCATGGTGCAGAGAATCAACCGAAAAAAGGAAGTTGTAAATTAGATAAATTAGGAAAATGGCTGCAGAAAATGCATGGTGTGAGCTCATGGACAAAGGGACAAACTCTAGATTCAACTCAGAGTGGTTCCAAAAATCCAATACCATCATAGACCATCAATCAGACTCCGTAAACAAACAGGCATTCCCAGGTGGAGATGCAGCAGCATCAGAATCAACAGCAGGCATTTTCACGCATGCTGGCCTACAGCCTCCGGAACTGCCCGAACTCAAGCGCACATTTGGCACTGATCAAGCGAAATGGATCGAAATGGAACATCACCAAATGCCCAGAGCCTGAGCAGCCAGACTGGCCAGACTGGCCACCGATGCCACAGTCTCTCCGCATCTTTTGCGACATAAAAAGCCGAAGGTTTATGGAGAATGGCCATGACTGCCATGACGGCTATGACTGGCCATAAGTTTTTGTGCCTCGAAGAGCAGCGCAGACAAGCAGGCCACCAAGACCTCGGTCATCCAAGGGCCATCGGATCACCGCCATCTGCCATCACTGTCAAGATCGAATTCTTAAGCCGTGAAAGCTAAAGAAAAATGCCACAAATTATGTTGAAACATTTCTTGAATTCGCTAAGAAATATGATGAAATATGTAAAGATTAAATCTGATTATGTCTGGCATTCTTCACCTACCATGAGCATCGCAAAGGCGTCCACTCCAGCGATGTCAATCACAGTGGATAGGAGCGGACCACTCACCTGCGAAAGATCTGCCAGGAGATGGGACCATGGGATGACCATGGGACCGACAAATCACATATCGCTGGGCCTTGGCCGGATCTGCCTGGCAGAAACTTGGAGAATGTATCATCGGAAAAACCATGTGTGTCAAAACGCTGGACCATCTGCATCCATTGTCATTTACCAACAGTTCATAATAGAATATTCATCATGATTTCATACCTGTTGCCTGGCTCAAGGCTTGTTGTAATGTGGTGCAGGCGCACCCCCAGGCGTTTCAGCACAAGAGGAGCTGATGCGCCGAAAATCACGGAAAAGCTCACCTCCGGCAGCTAAGAAGGTGAGATGATGCTGGAATATCATAGGACTGTGACCAATTCCATAGGGAAAATCTTGGAAAATGATGTTATACCCTTGGATTCTGCCAAAAAAACAAGGAGGAAAACCATGGAAAACCATGGAAAACCATGGAAAAACCATGGAAAACCATGGAAAACCCTCAAAACGACTCACTTTGCACATCTGGGAGATCCAGCAGTAATGGCCATTGCGACGGCAATGGCTGCTGCATCGGACATAGGACCACCGAACCTGGATTCCAGAGTCCCAGCACCATGGAGTGCAACATCTAGAAATAGAATGTAACGCCATATGTAAGCAACAATTATGACTTGGGCATGTTTGAAAAGGGGGGATACCCCCCAGTTATGGCCATTTCAATGAAGGCAAAGAGGATAACAATGATTAACGAGTGGTACCCCTAATTGTCAGATAAAGCCACATCTATCATCACCTACCGTGACCTACCAAATGTCAGAAGCAAATCTGCCCAGCTAGGTTTGTCGCAAAAGGATCCGCAATGCCACACCTGCAACATCTGGAAAATGTGAAATCCACATGACTCAGCATCGGGGCCCCAATGGGCCCACAAAATTGCTTATGCAACTTATACTCAGTATTCGAGAACCATATGAACATTTCAAAAACATCCATTCTTGGGGGGTGAGGTCCGTGGTTTTGAGCCGGGCCCCAGATTTTGGCAGCTCCCTGCTACCTGCAGCTAGGACGAAAGCAATCCCAAGGCTCACCTGAAGCTCCTGGTCGACACATTCAGGTCCTTGTTACTGGGTTGTTTGGCTCAGATTGAACAACTCTTAGTAATGGTATCATTACTAGTGTTGTGACGAATATGTTTGGCATTATGACTAGTTCAAAACAATAATAGTAATAATCAATGATGATGATGATGATGATGATGATGATGACGATCATCGTCATCGTCGTCGCCGTCGTCGTCGTCATCCTCATCGTCATTGTCATTGTCATTTAAAAATGATTTAATGAATGATACTGATAGCATGACAGTGAAGTCATCAGACCCGCCCCGTCCTTCCACAGGACACTTCCTAAATCTTTGAGGCTCGGGACCTGGCAGAGGGCAAGTTATGACCCAGAACAAACTCGTTGAGCGTAGCCGAATGCAGCCGAGCTCGATCCTGGGGGAACCATGGGAACCGGAAATGGCCAAACTGCGCTGGCGGGACCAGTTCTCCAGTGGCCAAGGCCTGTAGAACCAACGAGGCTGCTTGAGAACCAGCATTGCCACCACAGCCCACAAGGGCCGTCAGGTAAAATGCGATGATCAAATGCCTCAGCAAACTCTCTGCAAAGTAACAACCGATTTGTCACAAGGAATCGGAATTATGAATAGATTAGACAAAATGGGATACCGAAGTGTCAACAGCCCCCACTGTCAGTGGATTACTCTTGCGGCGCTTTCCACGGCGCTTTCCAGCACATTTGGACTCATTTGGACCGAAAAGGCTCCCGCTTTTGTAAAAGCCCATCGTAGTATTCAAGTATGGCGGATGATACCTCGTCAGGATTTGACCGGCCAGCACTGGCACAAATGGGCGTGTGCGGTGCAGTTGAGCTCTCAGTTTTTGAATGTCCTGAATCTGTCTTGAGATCAGCATTAATCATCAATTCTGGGTTTGATATGGCTTGATTGGATATCAGATTGTCTCAGTTTAACTACAGTGTACCTCCCATCTTCAGATTCTGGTAATGTGTTGATTTGTTTTAGGCACTTTAGGCCTCTGAATACCTTTGAAATCCTTTGAAATCGCTCCAAATGTTTGAACACGTTTGAACGGTCACTGTTAGGAAGACGAGGAGGCCGACAAGCCAGGGCCTCAGCAAAGCGACCCAATGCGACCCAGTCACCCCCGCAGCGATGGGCGATGGTCCTTTTCGACACATTTCAACATGAAAAAGTCCTTTGAGTTTCGGACAAACGGCCAGAAAGTTCACTTTCGACACTTTTCTCTTTGTACCTGACAGAAATTGGAAGATATATGGAAAGCATGACGGCATTGAAGAGGCTCAACATGAACACATGATGCAAGACTGAGGTTGGAACGGCTCAGGCACCACAGCGTAGAGTTCACATTCTTCCTGCCAAGACCCCTCGAAAGTAGACAAAAAGATCTTTGAGAAGCGTATCTCTGAATAGAAAAGATACGTTTATGTTCAGGAAGGTGCAATAATATCCGACAACAGCAATAATCAACGCATGTCGAGATACATACATGTACAGCATACCGTATAACGTATATATCCGTACATCGTATATCTGTCTGTTTTCCTCATCTTGAAATCAAACGTAATCCAAGAATTTACTTTCATTTCATCCAATCCAAAACAAGTCTGATTTGATGATGATCAACCTACGCGCTCAGCCTATGCACGTGCATCACAGCAAACTCAGCAAATCGTAAAAATTGGAGGTCTTCATCAAGCGATCAAGCGTCAACCCTCTACAGACTCGACAGCTCGTCCATTGTCAAGTTCCCACTGTGGAAACCGCGAAGCCCCACCTTCTCTTCATCCAGTAAACATCCAAGGGGCAGATGGCGTGGTGCCTGTAGAAATCTCATGTCAATCCGGCTACGAATCCAGCTGCTGATCAATCATTGATTGCATGTGATGTGGAAAGTTATGGCAAGTTGTGGCGAATTCGCAGGCAACTTTCTGACCTGGCTCAAAGATGTTCAAGGATGTTCAAAGATGTTTTCAAAGATGTTCAAAGCCAAACATGTGAAAGTCATGTTGCATTCCCAGTCTCAAGCAGCTCAAGCAGCTCAAGCGCCTCGAGCAAGTCGGCCAGCGAAATGCAAGCGACCGAGGCTTTTGCCTCGGCTCTTGCACATGTTGCACTTGCTCTCAAGTTTCAACGTTACAGCCAAAATCGAGAAATAAGAAAAACATTCATATTCATGATATTAACAATATTTACACCAGTCTTTTTGGCGTTTCCTTGGCGTTTCCTTGGCATTTCCTTGGCATTTCTTCGGCGTTTTGGTCAACTCAGCACACCATGATGCCACTCTCGGGCGACCCGACCTCCGCGACTTCGGTGGCCTCACTCAGCACCTGGACATAGAACACGCGCTCCTCACCGTCCACGCCCTCCTCGACACAAATTGCATTGGAACCTCGGTACGAATCGATGATCGTGACGTGACGTCGAGACGTGGTAAATCCGCCCACACCGCTTTGGCGGTGAAGGCGTGCTTATTGGGGGGCAAAACAGCAACACTAAATGCTCAATCACATTTGTTAATATAGCAGTCGCTATATCAGCTTTAGCGGGGGGGGGGGCCAAAAAGGGTTTCGCACCGAGACCAGAATTCGGTGGTGTTTTCGACATTTTTCGAGGATTTTTGGGTGTCTGAGCGCACGAGGGTATTGAAATGGAATTTTGCGTCATTTTGGTAGCTTTCCGGCAATGGAAAAACGGCCAAAAATGAAAAAAACATGGTACATAGCAAGATTTTGCAGTGTTTTTGGATGCCAGAGCATTGAAAACACTCCAAAAACAAGTGTTTTGGACTGACGTTGTAGCAAAAAACGTGTAAATTACCGTATGCTTGACTGGAAGCATTACAAAAACACTGTCAAAAGCAATGTTTTGGAAGGATTTACTGCCTTTATGGCAAAAAACGTGTAAATTACCGTCTGTTTGACTGGAAACATTGGAAAAACACCGTCAAAAACAATGTTTTGGAAGGATTTCTTATATATATGTTGGAGTTGGCTACCGGCATTGGAACATGGAAAAATTGAAGAAAACACTGTAAATAGCGGTATTTTCAACGGTTGGGGAGATAAGGGAATTGGAAGCATTGTCGAACATGATGTTTTCGACCGGTTTTATGGCGACAAAAGTGTAAAGTACCGTGCTTTGAAGGAAACCATTGCAAAAACATGGAAACACATTCAAAGAACACGGGATTTGGGGGACTATCTAGGCGTCGTTGTCTAGCTATTTGAAATTCCGCAGCTTGGAGAGCCTCCAAGGGAGGGAAAAGTGAAAATTCCATAGCTTGGGAAGCCCCCACGGGGGGGAAAAGTGAAAATTCCCTAGCTTGGGGAGCCCCCACGGGGGGAAAAGTGAAAATTCCCTAGCTTGGGGAGCCCCCACGGGGGGGAAAAGTGAAAATTCCCTAGCTTGGGGAGCCCCCACGGGGGGAAAAGTGAAAATTCCCTAGCTTGGGGAGCCCCCACGGGGGGGAAAAGTGAAAATTCCCTAGCTTGGGGAGCCCCCACGGGGGGGGGAAAAGTGAAAATTCCCTAGCTTGGGGAGCCCCCACGGGGGGGAAAAGTGAAAATTCCCTAGCTTGGGGAGCCCCCACGGGGGGGGAAAGTGAAAATTCTTAGCTTGGGAAGCCCTGACGGGGAGGAAAAGCGAAAATTCCCTTGCTTGGGAAGCCTTTTCGGGGGTGATTCCACACCACCCTTAGCCCCTCTCACGGACCGAAATAAACCTGCGGTGTGGGCGGCCACCCCACGCGAAGCGGGGTGAATAGATGTAAATGGGACATATTATATATATATATATTATCTGTCTCTATGTATCTATCTATCTATCTATCTATCTATCTATCTCTCTCACATACTCCTTCAAAGTACCTACGTGCTACCTATAGTCATATATACATGTGCTATGTATCTACTGTATCTACTTCCTATTTACTACCTGTGTACTCTGACAACACTACCTGTGTTTAACATATACCGTACCTACCATACATGTCAATGATGCCGAGCATACCATACCTATCATATCTTTCATACATACCATACATACCATACATATGAAATGTAATTACCACACCTACGTACACCTACCATATACATACAATAGCAAACATACATGCCATACATACCACACCTACCTTACATAGGAAATATTCCATACCCATCATAGTAACCATACATACCATACAGACCATACATACTGTCATATCAAACATACCATACCCAACAGACTTACACACCATACCTACCATCCATACAATACCAACCACTCATGCCATACATACCATACCTACCATACATACCAAACATACCATACTTTCCAAACATGCCATACCAGACCGACCATACACACCATACATACCCAACATACCATACCACACCCCCACCACACCACAGGGGGGGGTGAGGTAGCTATCCCTCTGTTAGGGGAGCCCTGGAGACCTATGAACACCTGCGGTCAGCGACAGCGACTGCTCACTTTTCTACGCAAGATTCTGCTAGTCTTGAGCCATGCGGAGTGCGCATGAAAGATGTGAATTAAGTGTACATGTCAACATGCATGAATGCATTGTGGAGACACGTAAAACAAAATAAATCACAAACAGACACAAATTTTCTTCGTGTCGGAACATGCAAGTCTGTTTCACAGGTAGCGCTCAGCCTGTGATCTGCTGTGAGACGGTCCGAAGACAAAAACAAAACTGTACAAAAGCTACGCTCCGCTGTTGGAAAGCGGTTGGTTTTCGGCTGCTGTCAATGCGGAACATTGCAATTTTTCTGGGGCTACAAGCCCATAGTGAAATAGTAACCGTAGAAACTCAGCTCATTTTGCCTACGGTTTTCCCCGGACAAATGAAAGAAAATGGACTGATCCGGTGTTTGCGGGATCATGTCAAGCCACGTTCCGTCGTATTTCTGGACCCAACGCTGTCTGGGTACTTGGTACCCTGGGACGTATTCTACTTGAGTGGTATTAGGATTAACTCTATAGTACGACGGCTGATCATAACTGTAACCGTAATTACGGTGTCCGGAATACCTTGAAGCTGTTCCTTGGCTAAGCCATTGCGAACCCGACAGGCGGGATGGAGGCGCAGGAGGCTCAGGTACGTTAATAGGCCTTTTTCTGGTTGTTTGCCTTTGGTCGGCCTGCTGCGATCTCTGCCTCTGGTCAGCCTGTTGTGTTCTCTCTCTCCACGGCGGTGGAGTCTTCGGTGGTCCTGGCGGATCAGGTGGCGTTCGAGGCTGTTGTGAACCTAATGTTCGTCCGGGAGCCGGAACTGGAGGAGCCTTTACAGGAGGCCTTGCACTTGAGGAAGATCCTGATGACTTCGGTGCGGATGTTTCTCTTAAGGATCTTGGTGCAGCTTTATATTGCACTGGTCTGGCTTTCTCTGCTGGAGCTCGCACTGGTGCCGGAGGCGGTGCTGGTGTTTCAGCTCTGGGTCGATATGCTCTGGTCCTGCTGACCGATCGACTTCTAGTGCGTCCTACATTTCGGTGTGTATCAGTCCGCAGAGGCGGAACACTGTCTCTCCTTTCTTCTCTTTTGTCGAGATATCCTTGAGTTCTCTGCATCCATTTTTCACGTCTTTTATCCTCAGATTCCTTGGAACGGATGCGCATATTTTTCAATGCCTTTAGGGAGGCACATGTAAGGAGAGGTGAGTGCCAAGCACAGTCCTTTTCTGCCAGACCAAGGTCATATGCCATCAAATGTTTCAACTGTTCAACATCGTTCAACATAACTTCATCGGAAAAAGCAGATCCTGCAAATCCATCGGCAGAAGCGGATTCTTCTTTTGCACGTGCTTCCGTGACAGCGATCTGCTTACCGTAACAAAGAGAAATTAAAAGCATTGAATCACAATCAGCATCATCTCCACGCATGCTTCGGATGTAATCAGCAGCAGTGGTCGATGAAACTACGTTATACGTAATACGGTTTATCGGACTGCGGTGAAGATTAATCTGCTGAAGGAAACGCTCCAAAATGTCGATAAGGATGCAAGTCCGGTAGTCGGAATGATCGTCTGCCTTAAAGCTTCGCTGTGCGAAAAGATTCCCGTCACCGGACAAAAAGTCACACTGATGTTCGATACAGCTTGCGACAAATTGGAGCCATTTCTGGCACGTTTCTTTATAGGCATTACTCCATGCATATGAGGAGATATGAAAAACCGCAATGCGGCATTCAGCTAACATGAGACGTCGGACGTCATGGGTGTCAGCTCCAAGATTCACTTCACAGGCTTCCACGCCGGAGACGGCAAGGTCATCGTCTCCGTCGATCTCGCAGATCGAATGATCAAGAAAATCGAGTGAGGATGCAAGTGGGCGATCATGCTGGTAAACCGTAGATTCGGCATTTTTCTCGATGTCCGGTTTCGGAACACGAGCGCCAGTAGAAGGATCAACAAATTCTCCCGACGTATTCATGCCATGGCAGAGGCGGAAAATGGCGCCATGCAAAATCCAAAAAGGTGCATCTTTGTTGGACGTTTGAATTTGGTGTTGACATAAAAGTTCAATAAATGAGCCTGTATCATGTGATCCACGGAGAAAAATTGCAAGGGATTGTGACTGGATGTGCGGGTGCACTACCATTCCAATCATGCCGTACTCTTCGGCAAGTTCTCGATGGACGGCAATTCCTCCGTACTCATCGGAAGCTTCGCACAAGCACACAATATGGGCCGCATTACGGAACACTAAATGTGGCAAGGCACGATGATTAATATCAGTTCTGACCCATTTTGGAAATTTTGCACAACCTCCGATAAACGGAAGACGGTTGATGTGACCAAGGTTCAACGTCAAAATGCCAAGCTGATAGGTGTCCTTCTGAAATTCGTGGATGTTCTCCTTAGTGCGCTTGGTAACACCGAGGATTGCTCTCTTACCTAGAAGGCACGATCTGAAGAGTTCCAATAAACGGAGAACCTCCTCTGTCGTAAGTTCATCGCCGTCAGGGTACTTGAAGAAAGCCTCAGGTCGCCAGATCGGAAGAGGCGTCTGGTCCTGGGCATCAACAAAGTGCTCCTGGAGAGTCGGAATTCGACATCCAAATGGCATTTCATAAACATATTCTGTATAATCAAAGTCTTCAATTCCATGACGTGCAAAAGACTGAAGATAAGTGTTTCCAATGGAGCGTCCCTCACGCAGATGCGTGATCAGTTCAGAGAATTTTTCTTGGCGATATTGAGCATGCTCTCTGCGGGTGGCTCCGAAATACGAAGATTCAGCAAGAACAGCGTCAACCAGGTCTTCGATATCGAAAGGCGATTTGGATGAGCCGATGCTGTCTGGAATAAAATCAGAGGACAACTCAGAGGAAAAATTAATAATGTTATGTTTGCAAGACAAGCCGCAGGTGCGGCATTCCAAGCAG